GAGGCCCAATGTCCTTCTGCTACCTTAATACTAAACCTATAAATGTAGGCTCATAGATCTATTTCCCCATCCTCATATATTTGCATATGTACATGTCTTTATCTAGAGCTCTATAAATGCCCTTTGGAAAAATTCTTAAGTTCTTTAAAAAGAGGGAGAAAAAGATCAAGCACGCCACAGAGAAGAAAAAGGAAAACTATGGAATTCTGGAACGCACTGTAACAAATCTGACAAAATAAATGAAATATGAAAAACCATACACAAAGAGCAAATGTAAATGCAGAAGATTAATGCTAATATATCTGTAATAAATAATACAATAAAAGAACAAAGCTGTAGAACTGAAGCAACAGAGCCATGAATTAGTTAGCCTGAACACAGTCTTCTCAGAATCAAACTACAACAATCCCACAAAAGAGCCAAAAAACCCAAACAATGTATAAGAATTACGCAAGACCGTATCAACAGGAATAAGATATACATGACGGGAATTCCAGAGCAGGAAGAAACATTAAACACAACAGAAAATTGTCTATGAACTTTTGGAAGAAAATTTCCCAAATATAGTAAGAGAGAAGAAAATAACCATACAAGAAGCAGAAAGAAGCACAAACAAGATAGCCCCCAAAAGAAAATCACAATGTACCAAGTCAAAGAGATCCAAATTGGCAAAAAAGAAGTTACGCTCTATTTTCAGATAGTGTAATATACGTAAAAAACCTACACTGAGCAAGAAAACTGAGCTAATTAAAAGATTTAGCAATGTGGCAGGGTAGAAGATCAACATAAACAAATAAATTGCATTCCTACATATTAATAGAGAGAGCTCTGAAAAGAAATTAAGAAAACAATACCATTTACAATTGCTACATGAAAGATTAAAAACTTAGGAACAAACTTGACCAGTAAAACAAAAGACTTGTACAAAGAATACTACAAAACACTCCTACAAGAAACCAAGAGACCTATATAAATGTACTAACATACTAGGTTCATGGATAGGAAGGCTGAACATTGTGAAAATGTCAAGACTACTCCAAGTGGTCTATAAATAAAATGCAATTCTGGTTCAGATCTCAACACCATTCTTATAGAGACAGAAAGAGAAATCAAGATAAGCAAAGTACTACTGAAGAAAAACAAAGCAGGAGGCGCTCACATCCGAATCTCAACACCTTCTACATAGCTATGGTGGTCAAACAGTCCGGAACTGGTATTTAAGATAAATATAATAATGGAATATAATGGAGAACCAAGACATAAAGCCATCCACCTAAAGTAACCACGTTTTGACACATTCATTAAGAAAGAGATAGTCTTTTCAACAAACGGTACTGGAAAAAGTGAATTTCTATTTCTAAAGAAGAACAAACCTATCTTGGAATCAGTATGGCTAGAATGTTCCCTAGAAAAGGACGGTGAGACGTCTCATACTGTACACGTCATCAGGTGGGATCAGATCCTGGAAAAAGACATCATGCTTGGTAAAATAGGTCAATAAAAAAGGAAGATCCCCCTCAATGAAATGGATTAATGACATAGTGCTGCAACAATGAGATTAAAATAATAAATGTGAGATGACCAGGACCAGACAGGGTTTTGGTGTGTTGTTCATAGATTGAGAACCAATCCTGGCACCTAAAAACACTTCCTTTCAAAGGAGCCCTGGTAGTACAGTGGTTAAGCATTCAGGATGCAAACTTAAAGGTCAGTAGTTTGAACCCACAGCTACTCTCCATGTGGAGAAACATGTGGCAGCCTGTTTATGTAAGGACTTACCACCCTGGAAAACCTATGGGTTTGTTTGGGGTATGACCTTAAAACTTTAACTATACTACCTCGATGAGATCCCATTCTCCTCGCATCCAGGTACTGTTTTGTTGTTGCTTTAAGATGTTCCATTGGCTTCTTTTATAATTCTAAATTGTTACTGTTACATGCTGTTGAGTCAATTCTGACTCTATAGGATAGAGTAGAATTGTCCCATTATGTTTCTTAGTCTGTTAATACTTATGGGAGTAGATCACTAGGTCTTTCTCCCTCAAAACTGACAGTGGGCTCAAACTCCTGACCTCTGGTTATTAGCTAAGCACTTAATCATTTCACAACCAGGATTCCTAACTCTATATTCCATGTGTCACTGAGTCTATTACAACTCATAGTAACCCTGTATAGGGTTTCTGAGTCTGAAAATCTTTACAGGCGAGGCAGCCTTATCTTTCTCCTGGGGAGCAGCTGGTGGGGTTGAACTGCCAATCTTACGAGTTGGCAACCTAGTACACAGGCCAATGTCTAACCACCACCAGCCAATGTAGGTCTCTCCATTCAGAATTCATCCTGAATTCCTGGACCTCACTTACATTTTCTCATTCTTCAAACATGTTCTCAGCCTTCCTTTTGACTCACAGACGTACCTTAATTATTTCCTTTGACTTTCTTGTTGTTGTTGTTGTTAGGTGCCATCAAGCCAGTTCCTACCCATCACAATCCTATGCACAACAGAATAAAACACTGCCTAGTCTTAAGTCTTAAGCTTTTGATCAAACAAATAAACAGAATTTATGGATATGGGAACCTCTGTTCAACGAAATTACTCATTCTGAAATAGGGGAATACAGCACTGTATCTGAAAGCTTGTGTGAACTGCTCTTTATAAATATGGAGAATATAAATTGAAAAACTAAGTGAACAGGAAGTATTTTCTGAGAAAAATATAAAATTTGAAAAGTATTGAAAGTAAAGGTAAAAAAGTTAAAGGCATGTCTCTTAAAATGCAGGCACACTTCAGATTCTAATAAGCTCTGCTTCACAAACGTTAAGATCCATCTATTAGTGTTTTTCTAATGTAAAAACTAATATTAAACATATAATATGTGTCAAGTTCCATACTTGACCATGGGGATACAAACATAAAAAAACCCCAATTACTTGTCTTTGGAGAACCCAAACCTGTTATGTAAGTAAAATAAAACACAAGAGCCAACATGGTACAATGAATGTCAGTAAAGAGCTCTGCAAGCCCAAATGGTAGAACCGTCGATTCTGCTTCGAAGAACCAGGAAGACCTCAAAGAAAAGATCTTTCAGTAGGCTCTTCAGTGTGCAAAGGACGTCCTGTGACTTTTATAAAAATAGGCTTACCAATAAAACTGTCATTCACGGTAAGAATTATGAATATATGCGAAATCTTATTTTAACCTATTACTTTAAAGTAATCCAATGTTAATGATCTTACTATTAAATTTGGGTGTCCACAGGCTGGCATAATAAACTATATCAACAACCAACTCTCAAATATGTCCAACAGAGATCCTTCCTGCAAAATTGATAAAATAAACGATTTAATTACCAGCAGTATGTTTTCTTGGTGTAGTCCGAATGGAGTATTCAAAGTCAGGTATGGCTCTGCTACTCAAGTGAAGGTGGTAATTTCTTGCTTCATCCAATAAATCTCTACATTTAAGATTTTGTTTGACAATCTGTTCTTTTGCCACAACACCCATAAGAAAGTCAATTGGCAACAACGGCAGCCGAACCTAAGATCATTAATAATTACTGATACAAAAATTTAAGTTGTCATTGAATAGTTTATCCACTACTTTCATTGTATAAGGTCTCTTTATAAAATTCATGGTAATTCACCTGGCTTTTCTAGCACATAAATGAAATTCAATATGCCAAATTCTGAGCAATTTCTTGTGTTGGTCTATACTTATAAAATGTTAAAAGACTATATCTGCTCTTCAGTCAGATAAAATAATTCCTATCACCATTCAAACTGCTCAGCTCCAAAAATGGTACTGAAATAATCACAAGAGCTCCTTTACCACTACAGACATAATCAAAGCAAAAACAGCATTTAAAATTGCAAAACAAGAAGAACAATCCTTTTAAGCAGTTTCATTTTTATTTTTCAGAAATAAATAGGAGGTAAGAAATAAAAAACAAAGTGTATGTTTTTAAAGGGCCTATTTACCGTCTTTTTATCCAAAAAAACTATCTAAGGAAAATAGTAATAAATACATTTGAAGTTAGACAAGTCAAACTCTGGACAAAGTAAAGAAATAATCAGCTAAAGTCTCATCTATCTCTTTTTGCCCCAAGTAAATACTATTGTCTTGTGACCTTACCAGAAAGAATTTATGTGCACTCTAACTCAAATTCACTGCCACTGAGTCAATTCTGACTCATGGGGACCCTGGAGGCTAGAACAGGTACTGTAGGTTTCAGAGACAATTACTCTTTAAGGAGTGGAAAGTCTCATTTTTCTCCCTCAGAGGGCGGATGGTTTCGAACTGCTGACCCTGAGGTTAGTAGTCCAACAGATAACACTATATCACTAGGGCTTCTTTAGGTACACTAGGACTAAGTATATTTTGATTAGTAAGATAGCTCAGTTTAATTTAGAACCTTCATTATGAAACCATTAAGCTATAAATTTTATCAATTTAGACTTATTGCCTTAGCATGATGTTTTATTAGCAAAAATAAAATACTCATACCAATTGTTTCAAATCAAAGAAGATACTTACAAGAAAAAAAAATCAAAGTAACTTAGTTACCCCAAGTTATTTTGAGCTATCTCAAAAGAATATTCTAAATATTCATGAGAAAACAGAATATTCTTAATTCAAATACACAAATTCAGACATCTTTAAAGAAAGTGAGTAAGAAAGTCAAAGCCATTTTTATCAATGTATTATGCCAACAATTTCTAAATTCCTTCTGATTATATCCTTTTTCTAAGAATGAAATATGTTCACCCGCTTCCTTTTCACTTCATTTCTACACAGCATCTTTCAGCCCCTACCTGTGCAAGTGTTTCATCCAGCCATTTGGAATGATGCTGAGGAGTAGCAAGAAGCCACTTGATGGCAGCACTATAGACCAGCTTTTCGTTCTCAATATTCAAATCACTGGAAGACAGAAGCTTATGGAGATGCTGGGGTGACACACTTACGAAGTCTTCACACTCCACCACCTCAGTAAAGTGCTCACAGGCGTACTGGTCTGCCATGTCCATTAAGTCTATTCGATTGTGACTTTCTGCAAAGGCTCTGACTGCCAGGCAATTCGAGGGATGAAAATGTAACTTCATGTACTCACAGCAAGCTCTAGCTACCAGTTCAACCTGTAGAATACAGGCTGCATATAAGAGAGGCTGGACGTTGTCAACAGTCAAAGTGAGCCGAGAAGAATAGACAAACTTTACCAAGTCTTCTATTGCATCGCCATCAAAATCTCTGATCTCAATCAGTGTCTGCCTGGCTTCAGCCATTTCAGAGAGAAACATGGCTCGGAAGTAGGGAATAACACAAGCCAATGCCAGTTTGTGGCAAGAGATTAGCTTTGTTCCAACCTGTACAAGACACACAAAAATAGTAAAGTTTACTCAGCTTACCATCAAAATCAGCATCAGATCAACATAAAGCATGTGTTGATGCAGAAACCTCAAATATAATGTCGAACTTTAGTGTATTTATTTTAACAATGTAAGCTTTTGGGCCTTACTTTTCCTCTAGGCCAGTTTCTTAAAACCAGGCAATTTTCTTCTTGCACGTCCACTATCTTTTACACATGTCTGTAACATATGGGTCGAGCCCTGGTGGCACAATGGTGAAGTGCTCTGCTGCTAACCCAAATGCTGGCAGTTCAAACCCATCCAAATAGGTCTGTGGGAGAAAGGCGTGTTCATCTACTTTCCATAAAGATTTCCACACACCATCAAGCCAAGAAAACCTTTTGTCTACGTATGAATCAAGGCCACCTGATATAACAATATAACATACAAGGACTTCAAAAGATAAGGAACTTTTCAACAAACGTTTGAAATTCCATCATATATGAAGCTAAGTCCCAAAATATTGCTACAAACGCATATGAACTTTGACTAAATAAAACTATCAAAATATGAAGCTACTGTTTCTTGACATACCCTTCACCTAGGTCTATAAACTTGAGAAGGTGGGGTTTCTAGCTAACTCTTTCCCAAAGACTTTTGCCTTCTTTCCTTGCACCACGTCCAAACAGGAGTTTTGGGATCCTAGAGGATGCCAAAATTCAAATCACATTCCTTTTCAATATTCTTTGAGTTTGGAGAACAAAAAGAAGTCTGAAACCTCAATAAAACTATTGAAAAAAGGGGGAGAAATGACACGTAGAAAAACGAACTGCCAAACAATAATTTATAAATTATCAAGGGTTCATGAGGGAGGGGTGAGCAGGTAGGGAGGGGAAAATGAGGAGCTGATGCCAGGGGCTTAAGTGGAGAGCAAATGTTTTGAGAATGATGAGGGCAATAAATTGACATGTGCTTTACATAATTGATGTATGTATGGACTGTGATTAAGAGTTGTATGAGCCCCAATAAAATGATTTTTAAAAACTCACAAACCAAAAAAAAGAAAAACGAACTGCCAGTAAAGCAAAAACGAAGAGTTAACTGGAAAGAAAATGTACCCTGCATGCTAGGAAGATTCAGAGCATACCCTTAGACGTGGAACAGGAAAATGCTTTCATGAACTATTATAACATATAGCAAGTACCGTATATATTCGTGTATAAGCAGAGGTTGTTTTGTTTTTTTAAGCACATTTTTAATAGTTTTTGTGGTAAAATTAGATGCCTTGGGCGATCTTCGGGTCAGCTTATACTCGAGTCTATATGGTACTAGTTCTTCTGGGCCTATAGAAAACGCATATGTATGTTATGGGTTTTTTTCCCCTTGTATATGCTCATATAAATGAAAAACCAGAAATTTCCTTTTATTTTCATTTAAAATCTAAAACAAGAAGAAGTTTGAAGGGGGAAGATAGGGGCTGTAGTGAGGAGGGGGTGGGGTTTCCCAACAAAATTCTAAGACAGCCTTTGCCACCCTCAAAGAATGAGTTGATGTGTTGTTAGAAGGACCAAAAGGTCCTCGGCACATCTTTCCTGGCCTCTTTCTCATCAACGCTATTTTCAGTTTTCGTAAAACGTCTTCATAATAGGCCCCTATCATCGTCTGTGACCTTGGAGAAAAATCTATCAAGATTATTCCTTGGGAGTCCCAAGATGCAGTCACATTAGCATCAGAGGGGCCTGTCTGCCTTGGTGTTAAATGGTCTACAGATCCTCTTGGAAGCCATTGTTCCCATTGGACCTTTGCATTTTCAAAAGCATCCTAATGAGACTGTACTTTTGAAAAAACTTGCCTGCAACTATCCACTGATTGCAGAGATGTGTTTAAACCCATTTTGTTTGGAAGGCACCTGTTTACATGAACTAGAACCCTAGCAGCAATACTTTTTGAATTATATTCATATAATGAATTGTGATTTTTCCATATTGGCTCATATTTAAGAACATTTTATGACTATATTATCTATCACTTATATCCATGCATGATTTTAAGCGTTTTTCATATAGTAGGTAACACATACCAACACTCTTATGAGTGGATATTATCAACAATTTATCAGTGAGAAGATTAATGTAGAACACAAATACATCAATATTCAGTTGAGGTGACTGAAAGATCTTATCTTGAGATATTCCAACATTTTTTTCTCTCATATAGTCTGGATTATATAATGAACACATAATTGTGTCCCATTATTTGAGAATTAATTTAAAAATGCAAACTAACTCCTAAAGAACAAGGCCTGAGGAGCATTACAATACATATTTTACTTATAAATGACTCTTCCCTCTTTTTGTCACTAATGTGGAAGAATGAGTATCATTAATTTTTTTGAGTATCATTAATTTAAACAAACACAAAATGTCTGTCAATGTGATATTATATTTAACTTAACAGAATCCATGAGCAGGGTTTAGATCTTATTGAGACTAAAATTTCAGCTCAGACTGTAACACGGAGCTTGGCATGTTTTCAAATTCACTTAAGACATAAAATGGGATTTTAAATCTCATATAAAACATTCAAAAAATACAAAAATCACAAAACATTAAACATTGTTCAATTAAAATTATACAAAGAATAAATACTATGTGTCCTTAATATGAATGAACTTGCTAATTAACAGAGTTTTTATTAGACCTGTAAACATATGAACAATGCAAAATGTCTGGGGTTAAGGAGAAAAACTAGGTTAAGAAATTAAGTATGTTGAATATCAGTATTAAAAAAAATGAACTCTTACACTGATTAAAAGTATGAAATATAATCTAATCAAAATAGTGAGTAATTTCCTTCAGATTACTTTATACAATGAGACAAAGGCAAAATAAAGCACTTTCTTTTCAACATGGGGATCATGTAGAGGGTAGGATTCAAGCATTCTTAATTTTTATTGCTGATCTAACATTTTAGTCCAACCAGAAAAACTACATGACAAGCCAAGCAGATTTCTGTTTGGATACACGAAATAATCTCTTGGATTAGAGGTGAGCCAAACTAAAAATGAGCACTAAAAATGAGCTTAAAAGCATACCAACTCCTAGATAAAGACATGTACATATACAAATATATTATATGAGGATGGGGAAATAGATCTATGAGCCTACATTTATAGGTTTGGTATTAAGGTAGCAGAAGGACATTGGGCCTCCACTCAAGTACTCCCTCAACACAAGAATACTTTCTTCTAGTAAATTGGCATTCTATG